CCTTCATTGTTTCGTCTCTCCTCTCGTCGACCCCCCCCTCCCGTATTCTCTCAGACGCATCTCACCTAGTTCTGCCATGGAAACGGTAGGGGAGGTTTCTCCGTTGGTGAAGGAGCAGTAAGGAAAGAAGCCAGATCCGGGGGCAAAGTCGCAGATGGGCTCGGGCTTGATGCCGTTGATGTCCAGGCCGGACTGATCCGGAGAGGGCTGGATGTCCAGGTAGAAACTGCTGATGGCCGAGTCCGGTTTGGTGCCGTCGGGGGTGTGGCCGTCCATGTAGCCGCTGAGGTCGTCATGGAGCTCCGTCAGGCCGTTGGCAGAGAGGCCGTAGCTTGGTGTGAGAGGCTCCGCCTCCCCGGGCTGCTGTTGGTGGTCCCGTTGCTGCTGCTGGAGCCGATGCTTCTGGACCTCAGCGTAGAGGCTGTCTCGTTGTTTCTTGGACATGCGGCCAAATTTCACCGCTGTAAGGCAACGTTGTAAGGTGAATCGTCAAGAGTGATAAAATGTGACATGGGCAGAAATGCACTTACGGCCTCAATATTAGGGACATCTTCACTCTCTCGTGAGAAAGGTAAACAACTGAGAGGGTAGAAATTTGAGAAATACCTCCATGTGATGAGGCGCAAAGTAAAATAAGAATGATGCCGATCATGTGTTGTTATAGCTGAGACCTTGTAAAGTGAATTCAGGGATTTGTTTCGAAATCGACTGTAAATGTTTGAAGATAATTGCAAAAAAAAAAAAAAGTAGAGCTATGTAGTATGTAATTGTGAAGAATGATTTTTCACCATTTCAGTGTTCCAGCGTTTTTGGGCGTGGCTAAAACGGGTCCCAGTGACACATTTGGGCCCTGGCATGAGTCACCCCTCCTCCACCATATAACAACTTGAGAGCCTTCATTCACGTCAGCAGTTATCCAGCGCCTATACAACCAGCTGTTAGCTTGCTAGTCTGTGGCATGGCTGCCTTAGAGTGCCTGGTTGACAGCTGAAAGTGTGCATACGTCACACCGAGAAAGATGAAAGGGCAAGCAAGGGGAACAAAGAAGGGCATGTGTCGACAAGGGCTTCAGGCTGGCTTGATTGCTTGAGAGCGCCTCGTAGGATGTGTGTGTGCGCGCCGCCGAGACAAAGCGAAAGAGCGAGCTAATTATTTTCTTCAAGTCAAACATGACAGCCGGTGTGTGTAGAAGTGCATTTTGCTGGCGTGGCTGCATTAGAGCGCCCTGTTGTTGTGGTGTGTGGAAAAGCCCTGTCACAAAAATTTAAGCAGCTATTATTTTTGCGGCTCAAACATGTGGTGATGTGTGTCCATAAAAAACATGCTAGCCAAAGTAGCATCATTTTTTTCCAGGTCACAGGTGTGAAGTACCTCCCAAACTACAACCACAAGAATAAAGATATTATTCAAATAATATAATCTGCATTGTTTCAATTACTCAGAATTCAGAATTTTTGATCCACTACATTGTATATGTATCCCGAATGAAGCGTCATGTGAGCGAATGAATTATGAATGATGTAGCTAGCCCCCCAAGGCAGAATGTCGTATTCCAGACACTTCTAAACACAAATAGGGTTTATTTTTATATCTTATTGAATAAACTACGATTTTTGTGTTGTTCTAATGTGGCCGTCTCTCTCATCCAGTTAAGTTTCACGACACTGACGTGCAAGAAATGCCTGAGAGAACAAATCACATTATGTCACACTCTTGGCTGAACTCTTCCTCCTTTGAAGAAAAAATAAATCCTGTGTCTACGCTGCAGATAAAATCACTTTCAAGACAGATGAGCACTGTGGAGAGAGAGAGAAAGTTTTTTTGGTTGGCGCTCCAGGGTCTTGGAACTATGTCAGCTGGTCAACGCGTGTGCTTGTGTGTGTGTGTGTGTGTGTGTGTGTGTGTGTGTGTGTGTGTGTGTGTGTGTGTGTGTGTGTGTGTGTGTGTGTGTGTGTGTGTGCGCAGACATAGAGGGGAATTCATGCAGATGGGCTTGTATGTGTTGAGCGAAGACAAAAGTCACCTTCATCTGTCCTGATTGTGTGTGTGTGTGTGTGTGTGTGTGTGTGTGTGTGTGTGTGTGTGTGTGTCAGCAAAGGCACTCCGAAGTGCTAATGTACTCTGAGTGTACGGCATTCATGAATATGCATACATGTGCATGTCTAGCATGAATTAAAATGAGGCTTACCCTTGTCTGTGTACACATTGGATGACAACACAACATTCTGATTACAAACCGCATTATGGTTTTGCTCTGCGCCAATCAGACCCATTCCGGTGTGAAGTTGTCGAACCCGGCAACAATCAAGCCAAGGACAAAATCAACCCAAAATACAATCTGACAACCTTGTCTAAAAGCAGGACCGTTCTGAAGCATCCTTCGCCTGACCACTTTTCTACTGCACGGCATCACCTCGGGTCGACGGTTAAAATAAAACACAGAAAACGGAACACTTGAGTTGGAACAAGATACAGTAACAAGCAATAAGAAAAAAATGGAAATGAAGGGGGTCGGGGTGGTGGTGGTGGCTCGTGTATTTGGATGTGAAACTCACATGACGAAATACATTTTTGATTTTGCCAATGGGAAAGTGCTAATTGCGAGAAGAGCCATCGCAAGGCGAGCAAGTACCCCTTCTCCATTGTGGGTTCCAGTTTTGCGGTGTCACAGATTTTTTTTTTAGTTCGTTTTTTCCAAGTCACCACCAACGTTCTCTATGCTACATTATATTTCAACTGCATTACACAAAACTTAAAAAAATGGCGACTCGCTTCAGCCTGCCCAAATCCAATCTTAGACCCGACCTTAAGAGAAGTATCAATGCTTCTATATCTTATCTTCAATAAGTACAGACAGAGAGAGAGAGTCCTTTGGCCACGTCTGCCTTTCAGCGGAGGTATTCACCTTCTCCCCAGTTGCATCCACCCAGCGTTTTCCAGTTTGACCCGTGAAGTACTCACCATCCCGTGACATGCCCACCGCCAGGCACTTCTGCAGCCGGCAGTGCTGGCAGCGGTTGCGGCTCGTGCGATCAATCAGGCAGTTCTTCTGACGGGGGCAGGAGTAGGCCGCATTGCTCTGCTGACTCCTCCTGAAGAAGCCCTGCGCGGGAAAGCAAGCGACATCGGCTCAAGACTGAAAGCACGGGCGATTGCAAAACCCGGTGATTAAAAGGATGTGATATGTGATCTTAATAGGAGCTACAATTACAATCTCTTCTGGATTGGAGGGAACAAGAACCTACAGAAGCACAAGTTACAACTTTTAAATGACATAATAGTTTGTCGAAAGATGATATCATCGATGTGTGGATTTACACCAAAAGTGATCCTTGGAAACCTTACCTATGCTGTAAAAAACACAACTTGGATTTTTTTGGGGGGGGGACGAAAAACAGTCATTTGAGTTGGAGCAACTGTAAAATCTAATTTATTGACATTTATGGCAACAATGTTAGCACTTTACTTAGATTTTTAAATCGGGGGACAATACAAGAGACAATTAGGTTTGTAAATGTTTATTTCTTTGCTGAAAATGCACAATTAGGTTTGTAAATGCTTCTTTCTTTGCTGAAAATGCAGGAAAACCAATTTTCACAACAGTAAAACCTAAAAAAAATTTTTTTTGAATTGCCCAACGTAAAATGTTATCAGTTTATTGCCTTGAAATGTCATGGTATTGTTCTTGCGTCCCCCAGCAGGTGGCAGACTGGAGCGAATCCTCCAGTGTGCACACCTGCTGCCAATGTTGTCATCACGGAGCCTTGTATTTAAGAACTGACAAAATGTCAGCGGTTTGTCGGATTATCGTTGCCCTTGCTAGTGCTATTGCTCAAGTACTGATTTTCGAGACCTCTCCTTCTCGCTCTTGCTCTCGAAGTTTTTGTTCTTGTGGTTTTATGTTTTTTGTAAGTATATTCTTAGTTTTATTCGATCGTTATTCGATCTTGCTTTTGTTTTGTCGAGTGAATTTGGACTCTTGACATTTCGTTTGGTATTCTCGGATTACTTACTTCCTTGCCTTTGCAAGCGCTTTTTGTTTGTTCATGTATTGTTTTCTTTCCTTGGTTACATTTGACCAGAGATTTCTGTTTCTACTTTGTCGGTGTGTTTTTAGTGAATACATTTTTTTATGGAGTTTTGTCTGGTGTCTACGATTCTGGGATTCTTAAAAACATTACTCGGTTTGATTCGAACCTGACATGAAATTTAGAGTTCTCTCAACATTTTTTTTTCTTTTTTTTTCTTCTTTGAATTTTTTTTTTTTTTAATGGTTGCCCACCATACAAAAGTGAAATTAAATAATTGCACACAAACGGAAGAAGCGCCACCATTGAAAATAACCTCCTCTAAGAAGGTAATAATAACACCGCTGTTCTGATATTTTTCTGGCTGTGACGCTGTCATTTCTGGCATGCCGGTAAGGGTGCGCGTCCAAGCACGAGGGTGGCATGTTTGGCCCGATGCGATAACACGGAATCTTCCTTCATTGGGATTATTATCTGGCATGCGCAAGCGCGTACGCATTGCACACCGACTGGATTCCTCATCCTTTGACTTAATGAATTGATTCCAGCACATCATTAACATGCCCCACTCTACTGCTCCATACACATATGTCTTAATTAGCCGCTCATTGGCTGTTTAATTACAACAAAACAGCTGACATCTGCCAAGTTGCTTTATAATGGAAGCCATTATGGGAAGAGGCTATTACGGCCAGCGACACGCAGCACTCTGTAATAACGCAATGATTTATGGTCTAAACTTTTGTACTCATACATATCATTAAAGGTCTCGGCGCCTCGACTAATTAGCAATCATTCAGGAGATATTTCGGCAGTTTATTCTTGAGGTTTATGTTCTTCCTAGCGACTGCGCGAGAAGCTGACAGAAACCCTCAAATGCACAATTACATGTGGACACACACACACACATACACACAGACATACGTACGAGCCCAAGCACACTGGTAGGCGAGCGCAAACAACGAAAGGTGCGGGCTGGCGTAGGAATGCTAATGATGTGCCGGGTGACAAGCGCGGGGACAAGAATACACTCTCAGCACAAAACTCCCCTCGCCGTGTGAATGGCTGGCGCATTTGAAACAGTACAAAAGACGACTTCAATGGCGGCAACACAATGTTGCAAGCAGCCAACAATCTGCTCTAATTCAAAAGCCTCTCCTTTTTGATCATTTCAGCTCAAGAAGGCGCTGGAACAGAAGCCAAAAAAAAAAGTGTGTGTGTGTGTGTGTGTGTGTGTGTGTGTCCCTGAAATGGGAGCGAAAAGTGAGACTCAAAAAATGAATTTGGCTCTTTTGCTATTTCCGCTTTAGTGCTTGACCACCGTGTGTTCACACTTCATTGTCGGTCTCACAACCTCAGCAGGCCACTTTCTTGACTTCCTGCTTTTGCAACCAATTGTCGTTACACTCGTTGCCACGGCGACGAACGGCATCTCGAAGCTTACCTTACAGCCTTCACATGTTATCACGCCGTAATGGATGCCTGATGATTTGTCTCCACAGATCTTGCAGGGAATTATTTCGATTTGAGCTGCGCGGGTGAGAAAAGAACAAGAGAGCGAAAGAGAGAGTGAGAAAAGACTAAGTCATACATTTCGCTGTCACATGTCACTGTATAACACCCTCACTGTGGCTCCATGTTGGTACATAAAAGAGCGCGGCGCTGCGAAAAAAACATGGCATCCGCAAGCTTTTGAAAGCTTGCTTGCACAGAGTTTTAGTGGAATATTTACAATCGGGTGCAAGAGTTTGTGTGCATTGTGTGAGCGAGAAAGCAATGGAAACTTTTAGGCCCTTACAAATTGTAAAGGCGGTGTCAATTAGCATCCTAAACCAAACATTGATGTGGTCTACACATTCGCCAGCTCAGTCTAATGCAATACAAGCCCCGTCTTCAAAATTTTCACTTTCACAAGGAAACAATGCTCACTTTTGATTGACGTTGACAGAGAGGTATTCATTTTAAATAGCAAATTAATTATTTGGGTCGCATTTTTAAGCGGCGTAGAACTGCACTGATCTATTCTGAGAGTTGCAGCCAGAGTTACGAAGTGAGACTTCATCATAATATTGCAAAGACATTTTTTTTTAAATTTCACACTGCAACATTCGAAAAGTATAATTCAATTGTTACATTAGATAGGGGGGTGGGGGGGTTGCCAAAGATTACATTAATGTATTACGAGCTACCAATACCTTGCTCAAGCGCACCTCAACAAGCCAAGTTATCTGACTTGTAAACCACACCAAAGTATCGAATAGAAACTAATGGCGCCACCCATTGGACATTGTTTGGATCGTCTCAAGCCATTTTTTTTTTTTTTTTTTGAATAGAAACTAATGGCGCCACCCGTTGGACATTGTCTGGATCGTCCCAAGCCATTTTTTTTTTTACACTGTCAATTTGAAAGAAGAATAAAAACAGTATTTCAGATCAGTCAAGTTTTTGCCGAAGATTATTGATCCTCTTCAGTCCTGCTTTTTACGCCTACGGAAAGCGACGGCTGGATGTTCATTTCATAATCGACATCTTTGGGCGTGATTCTTGATGTGTGTTCTCTCACTTTTCGTGGTTCCATGATCCCCCACAATAGGTGGATTTCTGCAAAATGGAGATTGACTATTTTTTTTTTTGTAGGGGAGGTGGAAACAGCAAATTAATTATTATTAAGGCACTACGAATGCCCCCACAGGGTCTCCACCTTGGAAAACAAATCACCCCTGACAAAAAATACATTTTTTTTAGACTGGCCCGATTAATAAGGATGGAAAAAAAACCTAAGATAGCACCCCCAACATCTCCCACATCTTAGCCCCATCGTCCCGACAGCAGCGCCAGACAAAATCCACTATCTGATCTAAATCGAGGAAACGTCACCTCGGGATATTTTCTCACGATGCAATGGCCTTTTCTGAGCAGCCAATCCAAACGCGGGGAAATGGTGCACCAATTAAGGGGGAATATGATGATTTTTGTCTTAATAAGATGCAAAAAAAAAAAAAAAGATAATTAAGAAGCAGTGCTCCGTCTGTGATGTCGGAGCGTTACATCAGCCTCTTCCCTCCAGCCATGCCTAATTCTCCATATGATCAAGCCCCATGTCTACGCCAAGCTCCTTATAGCCCTTGCACACCTTAACAAGCAATCTCTTGATGCCAATTTGATCACTTCACAAGTACTTTTGCTGGGCTTCAATCCACAGATCCCTGCCCATTTTAATCAGCCACCCAGGAGCCTCCAGTGTGTCATGTGGATCACGTCCTTGTCCCCGAGGCCCGCCCGGGAGAGACCCTTACCACGGAGCCTGTAATCCACTAACTAATAGCCGCGCTCCAGTCTATTCATTCACCAATCTGGGTCTGTTCTCCTTGCGCTGCTGGAGTCAACGAGACCAGTCGTGTTTACATGGAATTAGCCTACATTTTAGCAGAATGAACAAAAGCAAGTGGTGGATGGTGCACAATTAACCCTCCTCCAGACAACACGTCCGGACATTTGTGATTCTCGCACACAATGGCGGGCGATGCACCTCGCCGGCACAGATTATTGTGAAATCCAGGCGGCGGGGGCGGGCTTTGAAACGCTATCTGAGAGGGTTAATTCATAATTAATCTTTCCCTCATCGTGAACGGTCGCTCGTTATGGCAAATGGGCCCGTTGCCGTGTGGGCGCACTCCATTGTTTGTTTCTGTGTTCTCCCTGCATGTGCATTCGCAGTGCAGTGTGTTTCGACTCCTTTAGCATTTTCAGCCTCATTACTTACATAATTTGTTCTGACATGCACTCACAACAACTGAAGCGTGCTGTAATTATGACTAGCTGTGGTTGTGGCCAGCCAAATGGGGTGCAGTGGCAGGCCCGTGCCAGTGGGTGGCAGTGCAGGGCCGCGGCTACGCTTTCCTCCCCGCCTAAGCCAGGCTTCCACCCACCCGATCTGGCCCACAGGTTTTTGGCTCTGAGCTCCAGCCTGCGATCGCTCCAGGCTTAGGCTGCTGCTAGCTCCCCCCCACCTTAACATCCCTCCCTGCCGCCGCGCAACGAGATGCCTTCATCTCTCCGTAAGAAGCCGAGCTGGCCGGGTGCTCGCTGGGGCCTGACGCCGCGCCACATCAGGTGAAAGCGGTGGAAGTAGACGGGGGCAGGCCGGTGCCAGGCCAGGCGCGGCGCGCATCCTCACACAAAAGCGAACCTCACAAACAAAAGCGCTATCTGCAGCAGGGAAGGTCCTCGGTGCACACATCCTCGCCGGTTAGCACCCTCTCACTCCAGCGCTGCATAAGCTGCTGGATGTGGAGAGCACTCAAGAGTAAAAAAGGTTTGTCTCTGGACCAGCTGAGGGAGGCTGTGCGCTTCCTTGTCTGAACATATAGTTATTTCCACACTCGGGATAAGCTGCTTTCCAAAAGAGGTGCAGCTGGAGAAGAAAAGGAGAATACAATTTGAAATCAAACACACCATGAAGGCACAATCCAAAATATGGAGAAAAACGGAATGTGATGCAACTCTTGAATAAATTGATTGGACTACATTGGACATGTACTCTGGATCTTAATTTGTCAAAATACTGAAAACAGGTCGGACAAATATGCGCTTCCAATTTTGTGGGAACAATTTGAGGGCGGACAAACGTGTGTTTGGATGACTTTGGTACGGAACAACATGTCTACCCTCATAAATAAGGTTCACACCGACTAATAGATCCCGATTGATTTAAACAAGACAACAATGCCAAAATTACAGATTATAAACGATAATCCTAAACGGCCTACCTTGATTAACTGATCATTAACAATTTTGTTCACTGCGTGGAATTGATTGTTGATCATCATGTTTTGAAACAACAGAGCCAAATTTAAGTGCACTTCTTCGATGCAACCAGTACAGTTGGGTCAGTCGTGTTTGTCGCAGGATTACAGAGGAATTTTGGATCAATTTGAGCAAACGCAGCTCTCAGGTCGTCTTCTCCGTTTGCAGCTCGTCATCGTGCATTTGACCACCACCTTCCAGGTCTGAAGTGAAACCGTCGTTTCCACAACATGTTTTATATTCAGAGCCGTATCGTTTTACAAATGGCTTATCTGCATACTTGACTGCTTCATTTAGTTCATTGCCAGTGATCAATGGCGTCATCATTTGGTCTTGGCGGAGCGGTCTGCGCTCCACTCAAAGCCCTTCTGGTCCCTTCAATTTCATGGTTCTGGAGTTCTCAATGTTGAGTATGCTTACACTGCATGTCATATTGAACGAGGGATGTACCAACATCGGTATCTGTACGTCTGCGCTCGGTCCTGATAAAACTGCTCCGATAACGAGCACAGATACTTCGACAACGGCAAATCACAATCTATACGATGGATCGTGAACCCCACTCAGGAGGTTAAAGTGGCAGCTGAGCTCTCATCACAAAGACAAAGAGAAGTAAATAATGATAGCACTACGATACGGTCCAACGTTTTTGTTTTTTCATGACTTGTGATCTTATCAAGAAGCGGAGAGGTAGTAACACGGCATCCACATGCTACTTGGTTAAAGCCGCCAGACTACTTTTTTTGGTCTCTCCTTTATCTTTTATCTAATGTTTTATAAAGTGCCCTGTAAGTGTTTAACCCACAGGTGTCAAACTCAAGGCCCCGGGGGCCAAATCTGGACCGCCACATCATTTTATGCGGCCCGTGAAAGAAAATTAAACATGTCAACTTCCATGATGCTTGCTAAAATCTCGACTACAATAGAAAATTTTCATATGTAATAATGCTGCATTATGCATCCGTGTAGTTCACCTCCGACTGCGCAACCAGTTCTGTTCAGCTACATTATAAAGGACTTGAGTAGAATTCACACAGGGCCACACACACACACACACACACACACACACACACACACACACACACACACACACACACACACACACACACAAAAAAAGCGCGCGCGCC